TATATATAAGAATGCTGAGTGAAGAGTAGCCCTCCCCCTTTCCCCAAGTCACATTCGCATGCCTTTCCCCCATTATCCCCCCTTCAAAAACTTTGATGGCAGGAAGAGGCTTTGGGGCTTGGCGGCATTTAAGAGCCATTCATGCTCAATGCAACCAACCTGCCCCGGGAGATTCGGTTCCTTGTCATCACCGAGTATCGTTCTACGTCCGACAAGAGGAGCCCATAAACATTTAATGACAAACGACAAATTTGGAACATGTGGCAAGGACAATCGGAGCTTCAATCTGACAGAGATCATGTTTCTTCGAGACCAGTGTTAAATTACACACTATCTCTCCTTGCATTCCCTGGACTCGTAATCCGACTAATCCTCCAATATTTCATCTCGACAAGCTATTAAAATGTCGCCTCGTGCAGAAAGAGCTGTTGAACAGCCATACTGCCGAAAAACCCACAAAAAACAACTACCCCCCCCCCATAAAAAAGAAGAAAAACAAAACATAGCACAAAAAAACACAACACAAAAACACCAGTAATTTCGGGATTTAATTAAAACGCAGTCCGATCTCAATCGTAATTCTGCTTCCTGGACGCCTGCTGATGAAAACAACATGATGCAGATGTACTGCAGACGATAATATTATAGTTATACACATTGCGCAATTGTTGTCATCGATTCTTCCACACTGTGGCTGTGATTGTTTTTTATGTCCAGACGTTTAGACTGGAGTTCTGTCTATCTCTGCAATCGATAATCACGGGGCAGAACAATGCATCTTCATCTAACTTGACAGGAGCTGAAAAGGGTGGCTGTTTGCATGGCAATGTATCAGGACAGATTAGCTTGACCGGCGTCTGTGGTGTTATGGTTATGGTGTAGACTCTTAGCTGTTGCATGCACTATTCTCGAGTGGGAAACATTTGTGAGGCAGCGTGGTGGAATCAGACTCTCGTCAAAATAATCAAAGTGAAGAAACGTGCATTTTCCGAAGGTTTGTAAATTTTTATCAAATTTATGTTTTTTGGTCCAACACTTTTCGTGTCCATTAAAGAACTAATTTCTGTGTGGATTTTTCTGAAAAACGTTAATTAAAAGCACAAAAAAGGTAAATTTTCAGTTACCATAGACTCTTAAACTAAGGAAATAACTAATCTTTGGCGGCCATTTTCTCA